GGGGGGGGAGGGGAAGACGTTGCCCTTCTATCCCCATCTTGTAGCCCTAACTGGCATGACTGCCCTGTGTTTGCTTCCCTCTGATGTAAGGTAGCAAGAGAGAGTGGTATTTAATTAATACATGTTGTTTCTTTCCCACATTTTCCTGTTTCCTGTCTTTAGATGTCCTTCCATCTCTTGTTTTTATTTGGTTTTATATCCTTTCATTTTCTCTTTCGCTTCTGCCTATGATTATTTTTCCATCTCTTTCTCTTTGTTACTACCTTTTTGACCCTTCTTCGTTATCTTCTCTTTATTGCTACTTCACTTTACCTGCCCGTCAGCTCTTTCACCATGCTCTCTCCTTTCATTTTCCCTTTCTCTCAATCCTTTTTTTTTTTCTGACTTTTTAAATGGCCCTATCTCTTTCCCACTTTCCTGTTTTCCCTTTCTGTTTTCACTAATGTGTTTTAGAAAATAGAATTTCACTCTCAACTTCTTCCCTTTTTCTCTGTGGCAGACTAGGTTAAACTCCTGCTCTTTTTCTGGAAAGAAAAAGCTAGTCAAAAGTTAGTGGAAAGATGAAGAAGGTGGAGATGACATATCGATGAAAAATACTGTTACCTCACTATTCACGTAGATATTGTCTAACACAGGTTTTTGCAAAAACCAGCTGTCTAACATAACAACAATTCTTGTATTTATTTTCACCTTTTATTTTCAAGCCAGTCAGCAGCTATTTCTTAAAGGAACCTAAAACCACTTTATAATTCATACAGATATAACAATGGTGTTTTCTCTGGGGTGTTTCCTGCCATTTCAATTATAACCGAAGACTGAATTTGGAAGCACCATTTGTGGAAGAGAGTTATCTAGAGTGTAAGTTTGTTTAGGACAGTGATAACTTAAGGTACACTTCATAGGAATTATGAACTAACTTAGCTATGATTTATAGCTATTTTCCTTCCTAAATATAACAGTAAATTGTTTCTGTGACTGCTACAAACTCCAGAATGTAAGAAAAGACATAAAATCACTAATGCATCCTTTGATATGCTTTCTTTCTCCCTCTTTTGCAATGCCAAGCCATTTTGGCTCTGTGTCATTCTCTTCAATAACTCAGGAATGGGTGATGATCAAATGGTTTAACTTAGGGTAGCATTAGCACTGCAAAAGCGACAAGCCATTCCCCTGCAATCTGCTTGCTTCAAAGACTTCTAGTTCACCTCAGGCATCAGAGAACATAATGCAAGAAGCCACAGTTCCTACAGGATCTTGCCCCTCTGGGGCACTTCTATGCATGTCTCCTTGTGGTACCTGTCCATCCTTTCCAGGGTGATACCTCCTTGTAGCATTTCACCTGGGTCTCACCGGGGGAGCATGCTAAAAAGTAACCATGGAAATTCAATAGCTTTAAAATGCTACTCAAAGCAGAGACCACCAAGGGCAGTTTTGTCTGGTTTAGTAGAGCTGGCTTGTAAAATCACAGCCGTTTCCCAAACCAACTGTTAAACCCACAGA